AATAATAATAATAATAATAATGATAATAATAATATAATAAAAATAATGATTGATGATGATATAATAATATGAAATATTATAATATGATAATGATAATAATAATAATGATAATAATAATAATGATAATAATAATAATAATAATAATAATAATAATAACGTCAATAATAATAATAATAATAATGACAAGAAGAAGAAGAAGAAGAAGAAGAAGAAGAAAAAGAATTCTGTAAATAATGATAATGCTGATAAAGAATATAAGAATAAGAATAAGAATGCAAACTGATAATGTCAACGATAATAATGATAATAATTATAATAATAGTAGTAGTAGTAGCAATTATAACAATGGTAGTAACAATAGTACTGCTACTGCTAATAGTAACAATAATGATGATAATGATAATAATAATAAAAGATATATAATAATGATGATGATTATAACAATAATAATAAACATGATATTAATGACAATGATAATAATAATGATATTAATGGCAATGATAATGATAATGATATTAATTACGACAATAGTAATTATGATAATAATAATAATAAAATAACAATAACAATGATGATGATTATATAGTAATGATTATAATGATGATGATATTACAATAATGATAATGATAATAACAACGTAATAGTAATGGTGATAATAAGGATAAAAAACAATAATGATCATAATAATAGCAATGATGATGATAATGATGATAATAACGGTAGTAATAATAATGGTTATGATAATGATAACAACAATAATAATAATGATAATAACGTTACTTCCGCGTCTCGGAGGCGATTGGCGGCCCACGGGGTTCCTGCAGAGACTCCCTGCCGGTCAATGGCTTCGGAAAACGCCTGGTTACACGCCTCTAAGCACTCACACAGCGTACACTCACACAGAAACACTCATGCATACACTCACACAGAAACGTTCATGCATACACTCACACAGAAACATCCACACACACACAGAAACACTTACTCACACAGAAAACACTCGTCCACACACACACAGAAACACTCAACTCACACCACACACACACACACACACTCATAACACACAGAAACACTCGTCCACACACACACACACTCATACTCACACAGAAACACTCGTCACACACACACAAAACACCATACTCACACAAACACACACTCACGCGCACACACACATATATATATACATTCACATTCATGCTCACTTGTGTATATTTTCATATATTTCATTGTGATATTATTATTATGATTTTCATCTTTATTATTGTAATTGTTATCATTTTTATCATTGTTATTTTTGTTACTATTATCATTATTATGATTATTTATTTGTCATATCATTATTATCAGTATCATTATTATTATCATTATTATTATTATTATTATTATTATTATTATTATTATTATTATTATTATTATTATTATTATATTATTATCATCATCACCATTATTATTATCATTATTATTATTATTATATTATTATTGTCATTATTATCAATACATTATCATTATTATTATCATTACTATTATCATTAGTTTCATTATTATTATGGTCATTATTTTGATACAGGTTATTATTGTTATCTTTATTATTATTATCATTGTTATCACTATTGTTATTATTATCATTGTAATAATAATTATTATTATCATTATTATTGTTACAATTATTGTCAGTATTATCTTTATCATTATCATCATTTTTGTTATTATTATTATTGTTAACGTTATCATTATTGCTGTTAATTCTACTATTTTCATTAGTATTATTATCATTATCATTATCATTGTTCCTGTTACCATTATCACTGTCATTGTTGTTATTATTATCATCATTATCATTATTGCTATTATTATCATTTCTCTTATTACTGTCATTGAAATCATTATCATTATCATTATTCTCATCATTATCATTATCACCATTATCATCATTTTCATGATTATTGTTATTATCATTATTATTATCATCATGATTAATGTTATCAACTTTATCATCATCATCATTATTATTATTATTATTATCATCATTATCATTGTTGTTAATACTATTTTGTTATTTTATCATCATTGTTTTGTTGTTGTTGTCATTAGTAGTAGTAGTAGTAATAGTATCGTTATAACTAATATCATCCTTATTACTAATATTATTATTATTGTTATCATTAGTATTATCATTATTATTATTGCTAATTGTTATTATTAATATTATTATTATCATTATTGTTATTTCTATTATCATTACTATTGTTATTGTTATCATAATTAACATTATACTTATCATTATCATTTTTATTTCTATTTCTATAATCATTAACAATATTATCATCATTATTGTTATTATCATGATTATTATTATCATTATTATTATCATTACTATTAGTAATATTATCTCATTATCATTATTATTTATATTATCATTGTATTATTATTATTATTATTATTCATTATTATTATTATTATTATTATTATTATTATTATTATTATTATTATATTATCATTA